CTGATGATACATGATAGAATGCCCCTTTTATAGGGTTCAGTAGGATTCACACCTATGGATTAAAATAAGAGGGAGACACAGTGATAGGTTTTCAATATTGATACATCGGCTTAAAATCGACCTTGCAACTGATTCCTATTGCTTTTGTGCTGTCTGTTAATTATTATTGAATGGCTTATGTAAACCGAATCTGTGTTTCTTTACATTAGAGATACATGCATTACGGTATAGTTTCAGGCATGTAACAACTTTCAATTGTTGTATCTCAGCTAATATAGCATGTAATTGAACAAAATAAAGATGAATAGATAAAGCAAAACATGATCTAATAATATAACTAAATTACGAATACGAAAGAATAAAACTGAATAAACAACAACAAATATGAATCAATGAGGAAAAACACAAGTGGATAAGCATCCACGACAACAGGGTCCATAGCATTGGGAAAATCAATTGAAAATCTTTGGATTTGTTGACGTCTGGAAAGTCTTTGAGTTTTTAAATTACAGGTAAAATAAAAAAATCTTCTTGGGAAAAATGTAAGAAAGTATGGGAAAGGTCTGGAAAAGTCTTGGAAATCATTTGGCTCTTGGTGCTATGGACCCTGAATAAGTAATGTAACATTTAGGATAATAACATGCATAGTATCTGAAAACTAGATCTTTGCTCAATAAACAGTTTATTTTCCAGCTGTTTTGTTTTACATGGATAAAACAGTGTAAACAAATCTCCTTATGCCCCTTTCTTTAATCAATGCTGTAGATTTTAGCACGCTTACAGTCTGTGAAAATCATTAATAACAACACTCACTCTTTCAGGATTGACTCAAAATATTTAGATGATACATTACATGGACTGGCCGATAAATTACCAGTAACAGGTGAGTGCCCATGGACAACGAACGGCATCTCTTTTCATTTATATCTGGATCATAGATCTAATGTTAGATAAAAAGGATAGATTTGCTATATGCCTGATTTAATTATTCACAGCCTCATGGATGGATGTATTTTACTCAGAACATGGACAGTACTAATGGTTAGTACCTTCCATGCTCAGAGTAAGTTTGTGGGTTTTCAGCCACCGTCGTCTAGCCTGGCTGAATGAGGTTAATCCCCATGTATGGATGTCTCAATGTATGCTCCTATGTCTTTTCAATGATTTTTTTTCATTTATTTGTAGGTTCTTTCCTGTTAGATGTTGTCTGGATATTTGATGCATCATATTTTCCAATCCATGAACATTTATATTTGTTTGGATCTCTTCGTCGTCTCCAGGAATGGCACAATGCCAATATTACTGTGCTATGTACTTCAGACAGTCAGACTGCTATAACATCCTGGGTTTCTTACTTAAATGCAACTTGTAGGTTATTACAAGATGCTCATATCAATGATATGTGTCTATGCACAAGGAGAGATGTTGTTTGGAAAGGCACTGTAACTTTACATGAATCAAAGGTAATGTTATTGTTCTTTCTTTATTAATTTAATAAGTTAGTCACATGATTTCGCCGACATCTTTGGTTTTCAACAAAAAATACCAAAAGTTTGGGCATTTGTTTGTCATGAATGCTTCAATCGCGGCATTTGTTTCTCAAAAGTGCTATAAGTGATGAACTTGATATTTTGCATGTATTATACATGACCATAGCTTTTTATGAGAACAAAAAATAGTTTTTATCAGTTTGGGTGTCATCTTGGATTTTTGGCAAAAATTACCAAACAATTTGGAACATTTGTTTCTAATGAATTCTTCAGTCGATCTACTTGATATGTACACTTAGTATTATTAGAAAAATAATTTTGATCAGTCATACTGTTTGGGGGCCATCTTGGATTTTTGGCAGAAATGGTCACAATTTGGAGAATTTGTGTCATTTTTGTGCCTTAACCAATGAACTTTAATATATCAGTGGATACATATTGGGGCATATTCAACCTTCAAACTTGGCTTTGACAAAGTAGCTCTGCAGCTTTAATTTTTATTTGTAGTTAATTAAGAAATCTTCAGTGTCTATTTCTACCAAATTTATTACCAAATTAGTTGATTTTTTTGAGATACAAAAGCTGCTACAAATTAATAGTCTATCCGACTTCTTCAGTGTGTGTGTTTACAGATATTTGTTCCTAAACGTGTCTAAAATCTTGAGCTACAACAGCAAAATCTTTCTGTAGAACTGCTAATTCTTGCTCACTCAGAAGTAAAGACACTAGTCATCACTTGCAAGATCAAGTGTCACAAACAGTCACATGATTGCCTAGCAACCAGAAATTATTTTCCATACATGTGTAGTTTCAAGTACATGTACGTAAAACTGATGATGAATGTTAATACACAGCTTCAGGCTTTTCAAATAATGGTAGACCAGTCACGGTTTTATGAAGTTTTTTTTCTCAGCATTTTGAACAATAATTATAATTATTTTAAACTGGCAATGATTCATCTCCTACTATAGGGAGTAAACTCTGTGGCCATTCCTGGATTTGTTCTTACAAGATGCAGTGAAGAAATGGATAAACATGATTCAAAATTCAGGATCATACTAAGGGAAGAAAAGGGATCATCGTTGGATGAGGTGAGTTTGCTTATTGAGAACATATACCACTGAGATTTTTGAGATGTGCTTGATCTGAGAAACAGATTACAAAAGACTGGGGTATATCATTTGTGAGTATTGAAATTCAGCATGTGCAAGTGATTGTTGTAATATTTAGGGAATAAAATATGACATTATGCCCATTATTAGTCCCCGTTCAGGCGCAGCCTGAAAAGAGGACTTATAATTCAGTTTTGTCCTTTTTAGCCCCCGCCGGATCTGTGATCCGGGCGGGGGGATAATTTGGGTTGTGTCTGTGCAATGTGCGTGCACATTTTCATGTTACCAGCTTTTTCTCACACATGTGTGATC